AGAATCCATACAGGGGAGAAGCCCTATACCTGTGCAGAGTGTGGGAGAGACTTTACCAAGAGGAGCCATCTTGTAAGCCATCGGCGGATTCATACAGGCGAGAGACTCTATCCCTGCACAGAATGTGAGAAAAGTTTCAGTTGCAAGTCCAACCTTACAATCCATGAGAGAACTCATACTGGAGAGAAACCGTACAAGTGCCCTGAATGTGGGAAAAACTTCACTCAGAGGTCTCATCTTCGAACCCACAAGCGAATCCACACTGGCGAGAGGCCACACACCTGCTTGGAGTGTGGGAAGAACTTCCGCGAAAAGAATGATCTTGTTCTACATGAGAGAATGCATTCAGGCGAGAAACCCTACCGTTGTCCAGAATGTGGGAAATGCTTCAGACAGAGCTCCCAGTTGTATGTACACGAAAGAATCCATACTGGAGAGAAGCCGTACAGATGCTCAGAGTGTGGCAAAAATTTTCGCTCGGAAAGCAGCCTGAAGGTACACATGAGGAACCATGCCGGAGACAGACCGTATGCCTGTGCGCTTTGTGATAAAACCTACAGTAAGTCAGCCCACCTTGCTAGACACAAGGAAACCCATTTGGGGGAGAAGCCACATGAGTGTCAGGATTGTGGGAAAAGGTTCACACAAAAAAGTGACCTTTCTCTACACAAAAGAATCCACACAGGCGAGAAACCGTTCCAGTGTACAGATTGTGGGAAGAGCTATCGTTGGGAAGGCAGCTATAGAATACACAGGAGAATACACACGGGAGAGAAACCATACAAGTGCTCAGACTGTGAGAAATGCTTTCGATCTAACCGTGCACTGAAAACACACAAAGAGATGCACAAAACGGAGCAATCAGAAAAATCCTCAGATTGTACATGAAGAGATGATGAGGAATCCCAGCCGCTTAGGCACAAGAGATCACATGTAGCTGAGAAATCATACAAGGGTCTGGGCTCAGAGGGAACATTTGATGTTAAATCTACGCTCTTAACTCTGTTGAGATAGATTGTAGCAATGCTCCGTCTGTGGGAAATGCTTCAAGCAGAGTTCATGTGCCGTGTACATATGAGAATCCATTCAAGAGTGGAATTAAAAGAAAATTCTGAAAAACTGTTTGAGGAATACGGTGTGTTGCTCCTCTTAGGGCAGGGAGCCCAGGGCTCCGTCTTTGTATCTTGACCCATTTTGTAGTACATATGTAGTGGAAGAGGCAGCAGCCATGGTTTCATAAAAGTGTAAGAAGACCCTTGCTGGAGATCAGAGCAGTGGTCCGTCTAGTCCCATATACTGTTTCTCTAGTAGCCAAACAGTTACTCTGGAGGGCCGACAATGGCATAGAGGCTGAGGCCTTCCCCTGATGTTGTCGCCTGGCTCTGGGACTCAGAGGTTGACAGCCTCTGAACGTGGAGGTTTTCTTTAGTCACTATGTCTAGTAGCCACCTATCCTCCTTGAATCGAATCCCCTTTTAAAGCTCTCTGTGCCTGTGGCCATCACTACATCCTCTGGCAACGCATTCCACGTTTTAATCACTTGTGCAAAGAAGTTCTTTCCTTTTGCCCATCAACTTTTCATTTGTCCTGCATTTACTGCCCATCGACTTAATTGGATGCCCTTAAGAACATAAGAGAAACCATGCTGGATCAGGCCAATGGCCCACCCAGCCCAACACTGTCACGCAGTGTCCAAAGCCCAGGTGCCATCAGGAGCCACACCAGTGGGGCCAGAACTCCAGAAGCCCCTCCCGCTGTTGCCCCTCAAGCACCCAGAGCACAGAGCATCACTTGCCCCAGACAGAGCGCTCCATCTATACCTTGTGGCTCATAGTCACTAACAGACCTCTGTTCCATGTGTATATCCTTATCACCCCATTCCCTTTTTGTCCTGTTATTCATTGTCCTCCCGCCATGGAAGGAAGCACTCCTGCCCTGCAGCAGGAGAGGATTGTCCTCCCGCCATGGAAGGAAGCACTCTTGCCCTGCAGCAGGGGAGAGGGGAACCTGACGATCTCCGTTGCCCAGACATCAAAGAGAGGCTGATTCCAGATTGGGGGGTGGGGGGGAAGCTGGGCAGAGAATGACTAGGGACTCCCCTTTTCTTCTCACCCCCAGTTCACGCCTGCTCTCCCATCTACTGGCCCGCATGCCTGTGCATCCTCCCTCTGTCCCCTTATGAGTCCTCTCACCACTTAAGAACATTGCAGAGTCCTGGCTGATTGAGTGTGGGAGAGGAACGGGCACTGTTTGACTGGGATTGCCTGTAATTGAGAGGAAGTGGAAGGGGCATTGTTTTGCCTGTGATTGAGTGCCTGGGTGAATTTGAATTTGAATAGCTGCTGCCTGACCTCTGCTGGGGGAGGCCTCTATTTAAGGAAGCACCTTGCCAGAGGCAGAGGAGACCAGCGGGGGGGCTCTCTGGGCGCGAGCCGAAGGGCGAAGGGCTCTTTGCCTGTGGCTCTTAGCCTAGGGACTCTTAGACTAGGGGCTCTGTAAGTAGCCCAAAAAGAGCCAGGCTCTTTGTCTTTCCCGTAAAATAATTTGACTTGATAACAAAACCCACATAAATACCAAGGGAGGGAGGGAAAAAGGGGATATGAGGAGCATATAGCAA